CTGGGTCTAAGGTTTTAGGGTTTTAATACTACACATACCTGGCTCTAAAGTTTTAGGGGTTTAATACTACACATAACTGGGTCTAAGGTTTTAGGGGTTTAATATTACACAGAACTGGGTCTAAGGTTTAGGGTTTCAATACTACACCTACCTGAGTGGGCTCTAGTCGGCTCCGCATCAACTCATTCATCACTTCGGAAATGGACTGAAAGGGTAAATGAACGCAGGAGTCAGATTGTACTGTTACGATTAAAAAATATGAAGACACTATACATATATATACATATCAAAATACAAGAACGCAGGAGTCAGATACTACAATCAAACACTACACGACAATCCGACAACAGGATCACTTTCTTGCACAATGGCAACACTAAGCAATCTAACAAATTAACAACACTACACGACAATCCAACTATAGGACAATATCACTCACCTTCTTAAGTTCGTCGAAGCGCATCAAGTCATTGATATTCTCGCACTGGACCACAATGCGAGTCAGTTCATCGAACACTAATTCAACACAGCGCAGAGACGGCTCTTGCAAACGCTCGATTTGTTTCTTGACCAGAAGTTCGAAGCAGACCTAATGTTCATGGAACGGAATAGGCACGTTTAGCAATGCGTTTGTAGCCGACAAGGTGATTCTTCGGCAGAAACTCAAAGCAGACAATGTATAGGTACGGTTAAGATATACATATATACCTATACCTATATATAAGACAAACAAACACACGAGAAAATCACACACACCTCAGGTACAAATAACGCCCTCCTGGCACCGGTAGCATTGCGCATAGCCGTGCGGATGTCACTGACCGTCAGACCTGCCAGGGCGTCTACGGCATCCAACGTAGCACCGAATGTGTCATGGAATATGTAGCACACACGCGCACCCCCCGACAGCTCACGTGTCGCCAAGTCACGGTAGGTACCGTCTATGATCTGGAAGGGAACGGAGAGTGGGAGAGGCAGGTAGGCATGGTTACAAGGGGTGTACAGTCAACGGTAAGGTTAACGTCGACTGTGTGAGCCAAGTCGCGGCAAGTGAGACGGTGGCGAGAGATGGGATAGGGATCAGGCCATGGTCAAGGGATACATGACCCTACACTATAACTACCCACACAACACTATAACTACCCACACAACACTCTGACTACACAAACAACACTATAACTAAACACACAACACTATACATACACACACAACACTATAACTACACACACAACACTATAACTACGCATACAACACTATAACTACACACTCAACACTCCAACTACGCACACAACACTT